TTCAAATATGTTGGATGGAGATTTTCAATCAACCTTTTTCCAGACAACAAGGACTCCATATGGCGTGCTCTCAGCTTTTGGATATATGGCAGTCAAGGAAGACATAACGAGATCAGAAGGTCATGCGAAAGCGGGACCCATGTTCTCAACAACCCGCTCGAAGACCCTCCTGAGTTTCATTACTCAGAGATTCCAGGGCTATTGAGGGAAGTATCAAACAGATATCGGGCAAGAATTTTACTTGTTTGGATTCATGATGGAATCGCTAACTTGCAAGAATTCAATCCACGTTACATTGATGAAGATGATGAACGCTTGGTTCCCAGGAATTACTTCATTTACAGTTGGAAAGGAAGATTTGGTATTTTTTATTGTCACCACCACTTGTGACTGTGTAAGCATTTCTTTGTTTTGAACTTTTGTGAACAATTACTGATTCAGGTTTCTTTTTTTTCAGTTCTGCGCTTGAATTTTTCTTGTTTATAAATTTTGCAAACAACCTTTTAACTTTCAGTCATGCTTGGTTTTTCCTTTCTTGTTTATATTTTTGCATTCTTGTTTTGACCTTACTGAGATGAAGGTTTCTCCAGATATGATTTGAGATGGTGTTTGATTGCTTACTTACACAGCTAGCATCAATGGATTAAAGATATTTCAGGAATGGCTGAAGTGCATTGTTTTGAATTCATGGGTGAGAAAAAATAGTCAGAAAGGAACCACCTGGATTCAAAAGCTAGTATTAAATGACAGAAAAAATTCATTGGGTTTGATTGACAAAATTAAAATGAGGGGCGCAATAATGTAGAAAAATATTTGGTGTTGGGGTTGAGAATGAGATAATGGGGGGAGCATTTTTTTAAAAAGGTGGGTTTACTTTGGAGGAAGTTGATGTAGAGAGAAACAAAGCACTTGATCAGCTTCATCAAACAACTTGTTGGACCAGCCAGCACAACGGGAGCTCTGGTATTTGTATGGCAAGTTCGGCAGCCCATCACCTTTGAGTCTGCGGATCTTGTCAACTATAGACCATCTGAGCCCTTGCTGCGTTGGTTTGCTCTACAAGTCAGTTAATTTTGAATTTCTGGTTTGTAGGAGCAGTTGAAGAGTCCACAGGTGGAACAATGTATTTTTATTTATTGAGGTTTTAGTTGGTGAATGGGGAAATTTTAGTAAATTTGATTTAATTTCTGAGGACAATTGTTGTTTATTGGTGGAAAGAGAAGTATTGATTGTGTGTTGTTGTGCAAGTTGACTCTGGTGTTGTTAATTTGTTGTTGGCTGATTTGAAATGTGGAAGTGATTATCTATATTTTTTCTGATCAGATCATTTTTTATTGCTGGTTATGGGGAGAATGTGGTGGGGTGACTTGTAAGAGGTGAATTGTGTTTGGATGGAATGTTTTGTTGTGTTTTGAGATGGTGGTTGCTGTTGGTTGGGTAAGTTGTGTTGATAAGCTTAGTTTTTTATATCAGAGGGGGAAAGTGGTTGATTGTGTTGATGGATGAGTGGAAGATGAATGAGTTTGTATTTCTGGATCAGCAAACTGAAACTATAAATAGATAAGAAAACAAGCAGGTTATGTGATGAGTTGAGTATTAATTTATTCTAATAATGACAGAAATATATGCTATGAAATATGCTTATGATGAGAAAGAGAAAAAAAAAAGAGAGATGAAATATATGAATACTGACATGTTTGTTGGATATTGGAGGAGGAATGTGGTTGGTGTGTGTAGAAGTTGGTAAAGTGAAGTGAGATGAGAAGAGGAAATCAGATCGATGGTTGTTTTTTTTTTGGTGATGGAATATGGTTTCATGGCTCTAATGGTGGAAGATGAGGTGTTTTGGAAGTGCTGTATGTTAGTTTGAATTGTTAGTGACCAGATAAAAAAATAAGTCTCTGTGGTTGTTGTCCCTCATGGAATAGAAACATACCAAGTTGAAATAAACCAATGGTTAGAGAGCAGCTTGGCATTGTTTTTGAGGAGGTCACGGGTTCAAAACCCCCTGGCACCAAAAAAAAAAATTATGCGGGTCATTCAATGTACAGTTTCTGCGGGGGATAATTCATACAGTTTGGGGGTTAAGCATACAGTTCAGGGGATAAATCATACAGTTTGGGGGTTTAATAAATTTACCTTGTGGGATTAAAATCATGCAGTTTGGGGGCTAAATAAAACATACAGTTTGGGGGCTTAATGAGTTAACTTTGTTGGATTTTGTACATGCATTTTGATATGCAATTCCTCGCTGACAAGTGGGACGTATGCAATGTAATTCATCATGCAATGCAATCCTTCATGCAATATGAAGCTTATCATGCAATATGAAGCTTATTATGCAATATGGAGCTTATTATGCAATATAACTTGGTAGAATATTGCTACCCTGGCCCTGGGGAGTCCCTTGTAACCCTAAGGTGTCCCAAAAGTGTTTTTAGGTCATTTGGGAACATTGTTTTTCAGGGGTGTTACCTTGTTACCTCCTCACCAAAATTGGGTAACAGGTAACACGCCCAGGGCCCCAAGGGCCCTGGGCATGGCACTAGGTCATGGGCCACCCTAGTAACCCTAACCCTAACCCCAAGACATAACGAGATCAGAATGTCATGCGAAACCAGGCCCCATGTTCTCAACAACCCGCTCAAAGACCCTCCTGAGTTTCATTCCTCAGAGATTCCAGGGCTATTGAGGGAAGTATCAAACAAATATCGGGCAAGAATTGTACTTGTTTGGATTCATGATGGAATTGCAAACTTGCGAGAATTCAATCCACGTTACATTGATGAAGATGATGAACGCTTGGTTCCCAGGAATTACTTCATTTACAGTTGGAAAGGAAGATTTGGTGTTTTTTATTGTCACCACCACTTGTGACTGTGTAAGCATTTCTTTGTTTTGAACTTTTGTGAAGAATCACTGATTCATGTTTCTTTTTTCCAGTTCTGCTTTTGATTCTTTAATTTTTCTTGTTCATAAATTTTGCAAACAACCTTTTACCTTTCAGTCATGTTTGGTTTTTTTCCTTTCTTGTTTATATTTGTTTTGACCTTACTGAGATGAAGATTTCTCCAGATATGGTTTGATTGCTTACTTACACAGCTAGCATCAATGGGTTAAAGATATTTCAGGAATGTCTGAAGTGCATTGTTTTGAATTCATGGGTGAGAAAAAAAAATGAACTAATACAAGTCAGAAAGGTAAAAATTAAAAAAAACATTCAACCTGGATTCAAAAGCCAGTATTAAATGACAACAACAATTCATTGGGTTGAAATGAGGGGCTCAAGAATTTAAAAAAATATTTGGTGTGGGGGAGCATTTTGTTAAAAAGATGGTTTTACTTTGGAAGAAAGTTGATGTTGAGAGAAACAAGGAAGTTGATCAGCTTCATCAAATAACTTGTTGGACCAGCCGGCACAACGGGAGCTCTGGTATTTGTATGGCAAGTTTGGCAGCCCATCACCTTTGAGTCTGCGGATCTTGTCAACTATAGACCATCTGAGCTCTTGTTGCACTGGTTTGCTCTACAAGTCAGTTGATGCAGCATGAAGGATTATGTTGTTTTGAATTTCTGGTTTGTAGGAGCAGTGGAAGAGTCCACAGGAGGAACATATTTATTGAGCTTTTAGTTGGTGAATGGGGAAATTTTAGTAAATTTGATTTAATTTCTGAGGACAATTGTTGTTTATTGGTGGAAAGAGAAGCATTGATTGTGTGTTGTTGTGCAAGTTGACTCTGGTGTTGTTAATTTGTTGTTGGCTGATTTGAAATGTGGAAGTTATTATCTATATCTTTTCTGATAGGATCATTTTTTATTGCTGGTTGTTGTTGGGAGAATGTGGTGGGGTGACTTGGAAGAGGTGAATTGTGTTTGGATGGAATGTTTTGTTGTGTTTTGAGATGGTGGTTGCTGTTGGTTGGGTGAGTTGTGTTGATAAGCTTGGTTTTTTACATCAGAGGGAGAAGGTGGTTGATTGTGTTGATTGATGAGGGAAAAGGTACAAGAATGAATTATTTGTATTTCTGGATCAGCAAAATCAAGCTGTAAATAGATAAGAAAACATGGAGGTTATGTGATGAAGTGAGTATTAATTTATTCTAATAATGACCGGAATGTGTGCTAGGAAATATGCTTATGATGAGAAAGAGAAAAAAAGAGAGCTGAAATACTAACAGATTGTTGTATAAAATTGGGTTGAAATGTCCATGTTTGTTGGATATTGGAGGAGGAATGTGGTTGGTGGGTGTATAAGTTGGTGAGGAGAGGAATGGATGTTTGTTTGTTTTTTTTTGTGATGGAATATGTTTTCATGGCTCTAATGGTGGAAGCTGAGGTAGTTTGAAAGTGTTGTATGTTAGTTTGAATTGTTAGTGACCAAGTGAAAAAGTGAGGCCCTGTGGTTGTGTTCCCTCATGGAACAAAAACATACCAAGTTGAAATAAACCAATGGTTAGACAGCGGCTTGGCATTGTTTTTGAGGAGGTCACGGGTTCAAAACCCCCTGGCACCAAAAAAAAAATTATGCGGGTCATTTGATATACAGTTTCTGCGGGGGATAATTCATACAGTTTGGGGGTTAAACATACAGTTCAGGGGATAAAACATACAGTTTGGGGGTTTCAGACATTGGCTTTGTGGGATTAAAATCATGCAGTTTGGGGGCTAAATAAATCATACAGTTTGGGGGTTTAATATGTTAACTTTGTTGGATTTTGTGCAAGCATTTTGATATGCAATTCCTCGCTGATAAGTGGGACGTATGCAATGTAATTCATCATGCAATGCAATACTTGATGCAATATGAAGCTTATTATGCAATATGAAGCTTATTATGCAATATGGAGCTTATTATGCAATATAACTTGGTAGAATCTTGCTACCCTGGCCCTGGGGAGTCCCTTGTAACCCCATAGAATCCCGCGATACCCACATAAGAACCCTAAAACAATCCAATTGTCAGGATCATGGTTGGTAACATATAGGTAGGAAAAATCAGTTCACTCGGTTGTATCTTCTTCAGGAATCAAAGGCAAAATATCTGCTGCTCTTTCTAGGTTCCGACTTTCTTCTATCGAGGCGACTGCTACCGGCAACTCGGATGGCAGATTCACATCTGTGGCCAAGTTGGTGATTGAAGTGTCAGTTTCGGGAAGTGGCAGACTGTGGCATGGATTTGAATTATTGTTGGATTCTGTAACACCGATTCCTGGATTTGAATTATCGTTGGATTCTGTAACCCCGATTCCTGGATTTGAATTATCGTTGGATTCTGTAACCCCGATTCCTGCATATGGCATTCTTTGATATGTGGCTCGGCGAGGCAAAATTCGAAATCGGCTCATATGGTAAGACCAGGTTGAATGGACTATGACCGGCTCCGTAAGTTCAAAGCCCCGGCTCCAGGACCCTTGCCCATTGGTCCCCTCGTTGCCAGAATGATTATCTGTAGGCAATGTCATACTGATATAAAACTATTAAAAAAACCTTTGTTCGACCAAGGGTTGGTTTGTTTGACCTGTATAATTAACCCTAAAATCAAGCCTACCTAGGAAGAGGTCCAATTTCTTTTTTTTTTGGCTGGCTAATCCTAACGCTAAATCGAGTAAGACGAATCGGATTGATAATTAACTGGTTCTTGGCAGGTTGTACAAAGCTTGTATGAACATGTAGTAGTACAAGTTTCAAACAGCAATGCGGCCGAAATTTAGACATCAGCGCAGCTTAACCTACCTATGTAGCCAGAAACCCCTCACCCTGAACCCCTTCTTACCGAGCAGGTTTACAGCTGTTTACAGAGACCAGGTTGGATGCTGTAATAGGTCCTTGGACCCAATCCTTTAGGATTTAAGTACATACTATTGTCTTTTACATATACATTCATTGCGTTGGGTCAGCCAGCCGTCCGTCACTTTCTTCAACACTTTCCATGGTCAAAGGTTATCGTTTTCTTTGATTCACCGTTTCTTCAACAAAAAATAAATGGGAAGGGTCATAGATTCGGCTTTTTCCCGCTCAATCATCTAGGGCTTGTGGCCTAGTTAACAGAGTATGGAAGGTCAGATTTGTTCGACCTTCCTTATTTTCAGACCCAACAAAAAGAGTAGGATTTTCTCTTCTTTCTTCTTTCATGCAACTTCTTTCTTTTTTTTATTCTCAAAAATCAATTCGTCGGTCAAAATAGCTTGAGCTCCTTGAAATAAATAACTAATCGCTCCAGGTTATTCGCTCTGTTCAGCTAGTTACAATTTTTATCCTCGCAAACTATCACCGGCAAGCCAGAAGCATCTTCAACCATCCCACCAACTCTCACCAGTCTTGACCCTTGATGATAAGAACATTCCTCCCCTGCTGGCGACCGGTCTGTTCATTGGGGAGGCATCTTGTTTGGTGACCCCCCCGGCCAGAGCATTTACGAGTTGATATTTTCGCTCTCTCCCTGGGTCTTGTAGCGCGAACACCTTGACCTTGCTTGGCGGCGGGAGCTCTTCGCCGCCAGGCCATATTAGGGCCTGGGACTTAATCTAGCAGGCCTTTTTTGAGCCTAGACTAAACTCTGTATTCATCTTCAAGCTCATCAAGATGAAGGAAGGTTGTAGACAAGCTACACCAGGCTACACCCAGTGTTTGTGTTGGTAGACCATCCACCATCTCTGGCAACTCATCACACCCCACTCCCTCCGCTCTATACAGATTCTTTTTTCAAAACTCATTATCTGCTGGGCTTGCGCTCGCTACTGACTAAATTTATAACTATGCAGCTTGGAAAACTGCCACTCTGCAAATGGGTAAGACATTCGTAATGAATGTTATTATTGTTTACTTTGTCAACTTCTACACAATAGCTCAAACTCAATTGTTTGACTGACCCGATTCCTTCTCCATAGGCAGAACCTCCAAGCTTGTCATTCCACATGTTCCATGCGTGTGTTTGTGTGTTTGCATATATATATATATAGGTCCAGCTGCAGGACACATCATGTGTGTTGATGCTGACTTCACTCCACCTTTGGCAGCTTGATCAATCAGCTGCTGACTTATCTTGCAGGGTCAGCAGCTGTCAGCCTACCAACAAGTTTCCTTATCGTTTGCTCCCCCTCCCTCCCTCTCTCTCAGAACATTATCCCGCAATTCGCAACACTACATCAATTATCTCTCTTATCGATCTCAATTTCAATCCATTACAAAACTGTGTTATAGCAATGCCTCCGAATACTAGGTCCCAAAAGCGCGAAGCAGCAAAAAATCAAAACTATACGCCGGCAGGTCCCAAGGTTTATGCGTCGGAAGATATCCCTTCCTCCCAACAGGCAAGTCAGCCTTCTTTATCAAAGTGGATAGATCAACCTCATAGTAACCCTCTCATCTTATCAGGGTGCTCCCACACTATCAATAGCTTCGCCCGACAGCCCGTCCATTCCGTTGTACCAAAGGTCGACTAAGTGGATGAAGGGAGCCCTAACCCCCTTGAACACTCGAGTTGAACACGAAGAGGATTCTCCTGCTTCCGTTAAAACTGATTCTCTGGATGTTTCTCAAGTCGAAAATCTCAAAGATCATTGTAAGCAGTTTTTCTCTTTATCCTATCGAAATCGGACTATAAATGCCTATGCTCACCCTATTATGCGTTATTACCAGTGTTAGAATTAAAACGAAAAGTACAACTTCAGATTGGAGAAATCGAAGAGAAGGTTTCACTGGAAACTTTGGCTCCAATGTTTTTCGAAAAGCACCAGGAATATATGGACGATATCAAACAATTAGTTGAAGTATGTCAATGCCGAATTGGACAAGCGGCGGATTCTGGCGAGCGTCGAATCACTGGTCCCATCGATATAGGTTCTCGCTTGCTTTCTCGAACGACCAAACCACTGGTTAGGAAAAGATTGGATTCTTTGACAGGTAAAGTCCACACCAAATCCAAACTTATTACAAAAGGGCTAATATACTGTACATCCTTGCAAACTGCAGAGCAACCGACTCCAAAAAAAGCTTGTTTGGCTGAAACCAATCGCATAGTGGAAGATACTCCAATGGAATCCTCTGCAAATACTCAACACGAACGACAACATCCATTATGGGCAATCCTTACCCACTCCAGCCCTCCCTATGATTCCGTAACTTCTTCCCCTAACCCTGATACAAGTGGAATGTCTTTAGGTTAAGTGCTATTCTATCTTTTTATGCAACCAACCTTTCTAATATCCTGTCCTTGTTTCTTTTAAAAAGCAGACCAAGCTACGCCGAAAAAGGACAGCTTGGCTGAGAGGTATCCACGAAGTGAAGGCATCAGCGACAGATCAGTGGAATCCGACTCAAATATCCAATGTGATCAGCCACGAATATCGCTGTCAACCCAGTCCAATGCTTCCCCAATATCTTCCCATCATTCCATAACGCCGGCAGCTGCCCGGGAAGTAAGTGTGGAAGCTTCATCATCCTATTCACCACTTCCCTCATCCCTTGATATCCCTCAAACACAACTCTCCGAGGAAAGAAAAGAACTACCCGTATCAGATGACGACCCGCCTGATGACGACCCGCCTGAAGCGTTGACCATAGAAAAAGCCGTCTTGAACCCTAAGTCGCCATTGTCCCCTAACGGCCTACCGCCATCAAATGCACACTCCTCTAGTCACAACGTACCAATAACGCCTCAGCCGGCAGAAAAGACTTTGAATCCAGACTTGCCAAGTCCCCATGAAGATTCTACAAAAGAGAAACGAGTCTTCCATCCGGAACCGCCATTATTTGCTGACTCCACTAGTCACACTTTACCCACAATGCCTCTCCCGGCGGAAAATGCATCAAATCCAGACCGATCTAGTCATAACCTACCAACGACGACACACCCAGCGGAAAAGGCTTCAATTCCATACCCATCTAGTGACAATGTGCCAATGTCGACCCACCCGGCGGAAAAAGCTTCAAATCCAGAGTCATCTAGTCCACATGAAGTTATCACCAAGGAAAAACCACTATTTCATCCTGAATCGCCATTGTCCATTCACGATCTGCCTCTCCCGGAGGAAAATGCTTCAAATCCAGACCGATCTAGTCTTAACCTACCGACAACGACACACCCAGCGGGAAAGGCTTCAATTCCAGGCCCATCTAGTGACAATGTAACAATATCGACCCACCCGGCAGAAAAAGCTTCAAATCCAGAGTCATCTAGTCCACATGAAGTTATCACCAAGGAAAAACCACTATTTCATCCTGAATCGCCATTGTCCATTCACGATCTGCCTCTCCCGGAGGAAAATGCTTCAAATCCAGACCGATCTAGTCCTAACCTACCGACAACGACACACCCAGCGGGAAAGGCTTCAAATCCAGAGTCATCTAGTTCTAATCCACAAGAAGTTGTTACAAAGGAAAAACCACTTTTTTGTCCTGAATCCCCATTGTCCATTCACAACCTGCCGCCATCAAATCCACACTCCTCTACTCAATCCTCACCAGTAACGACTCACCAGGCGGAAAAAACAGATCATGCCCTCCCCTTATCCACCAGTGAAGACTTGGACAAAGTCCATCATGGCGGTCAGGATAAGGATGGGCAGAATGACGGCAAGCAGGAAATGGTAGATGGTCAGTTGCTCTCCATCTCTGTCTATCAAGATTGTAAGCAGTGTCCGGTGTTTTGCCTAATGCCACCACCAATCCATCCTACTTCCAGCCCCACTCAAAGGACGATGTAGAGCCCATCTGATGAAAAAGGATCGCCAACAAAATTGAAAAATGGCCCAAGCTACAAAAATTAATGTCAATTCAACATCCTTGGATAAGTACGATATGTATGCCGACCCCATACTATTGGAAGGTAAATCCTCTCTATGGAATTGTGCCAATTACCAAGCTCACTGACGTGCGCCCCCTCCCCCCACTCAGATGTTCTAATTGACACCATCACCAGCCAAACTCGCTGCCGGCATCAACTCAATGTGCTCAAAGAAATTGACGGAAACACTAGGATGGAATTCGGCTGGTACACCAAGGATATGCTCAAGGCGATCTTGCTTTTCACGCAGGTTTCCTATCTTGAAGATCCCAATAGGGTCCACAAACCTGGTACTGATAGCAGCGGAATCCTATGGCTAGATGGTAACCGCTGGCTCTCGGTCCAAAATATAATGGCGGATGAGAAATGTTTGAGTCAAATGTTAGCTCAATGTAAGTTTCTCTCTGATCCTACCTTTCTTTTTGGTCTTCTGCTTTGGAAATTTATATCCTTCATCCCAGGTCCTCGATTACTCCAGATATCAGCAACCCATCCGTATTTCAATAAGACGATTTTCAAGATGGATGTGCTCTCCAAGTCAATCGATGCCAAGTTAGGAGGGGATTTCAGGTCAGGTAGCTGGTTCGCCCTTAACCAGCTGATGTGTCGATCAACTCCCACAAAGCAATATCATTCTGGCGACTTTAGCGATGCTTCGAGAACCAGCTTAAGCCGCCTAACTCAGATCACCCGCAATGCAGCATCTTCGCTCGAAGCCCTCGTTATGCCACCCCAACAGAAAAGCACGTCCAGCAAAGAAGACTTGGAACGTGAAGGATGCAGAGCGGCCTTAAATTTCCTCTTTGATAGACTGTCGGGGTTGGGTGCTGCACTTCCAACCAACGAGAAGCCGCCACCAAACATCTGGGGGGTAAAAATGATCTTGACGAAAATTTACGAATTGCTTCTTGGTATTGTTCTGATCTATCAGGGATACCGGTCAAAGTCCCAAGAGATCCATCCCGATTGTTTGGAAGTAACGTTTGTCTATCTGAAGAAATCATCTACTAAAGGATTCAACAGGCAGTATGAAGGCAACCCATCGTTCTTTGTCGATCACGCGAAAAAAATGGAGGAATGGAGACATCTCAAGCAGCGGTGCATAGGTGCAGTAGCTATCTTTGTACTGTTTGGCGTTCAAGGGTGGTTCAGTTGTTTCAAAAACCGGAAGAAATACAACTACACCGATATCTATTCAATTCTCACACTTGCGCACGACATGACCTCTCGCGAGATCAGTATCCTCTCTCCCCAGACCAACCCAGACCTACATACCCCATGGCGACACTTGAATTCTTTCCTGGTTGACCTTTTTTGCACAACGAAAATGGGATTGGAAGACTCAAACTGGTATAGCGCTATGTACATCTGGGGATCGGTGCTGGAGGTGCAAACCATCTCATACTTAGTTTTGCAAGATGTATTTGAAGAGTTCAAGAATCCCGGAGAGAGCCTTTCATCAAACGGTTCAACTGCCCCGCCAACGGTAGTCAACCCAACTGCAACGCAAACCTGGCATGCGATCATTGACCAGGTTTCCCTTCCAGCTCAGGTGTACTACGAACTGCGAGATATATACGAAAAGGACACCGGTACAAAGCCCCACTCAGTAATACCACCTTTCCCCTCAGTCGCATTCCAAGGTATTGATATCCAATCAAAATATGATCAATTAACAATAAACGATGGTAATGAAGAAGGCTCACAAGATTCCCAAAACATAGTCTAGTCAAAAGTAGTTTAACAGTTTTTTATTAATTTTTGTACTTGTTAACCCAACTGAACGATGTGTTGAAAAATGCTGCAATATGCCAAGCTTTCGGCTGATTTCTGTGAATCTTGTGAGAAATATATAATAGAGGAGTATCTTGTTATGCTGGTCTTTCTCCCAGTTGAGAAGCCACCTTATCTATCTTTGTACAAGACGAGACTGGGACTATATTTTCATAATGTGCAAGACTCATAACAAAATTACGATAAAAAAACATGATAAAGGAAAAAAATCCAAGTTGTATACAATTTGACTTGATGTGAGATTTCAGAGACTTGTAAGATAATAGATTGAGTAAGTATAATTATATATCTCTTTTGCCCCCCCCCCCATGGCCCTGGGGCAAGTTCGTCTCCAGTCAGTTTCAGTTTGAGAGGTGAAATTGGGTGATCAAGATACCCATACCCCAGTCCCGAGCCATCGAGTTTTATTAGTTCCTCTTTCTTTTTCACATAGTCGGGCCATGTTACCCAAACCTGACCAATCAAATCAACCCAGCAAATCTTAACCGTTTCAGTCAGCATGGTTGGGGGTGGGTTAAGCCTGCTCAAACACAAATTCTTCCCTGGCGACTCGATTTCCTCGAATAAGTCCAACAAGAAAAAGTTGGCCACAGACGCTTTGTCCAGTATTGAATCCCAGACTACTAGTGCTTTGTACCAGTTGATATTATCACAACCTATTCCCGCCGAAGCAAAGGTCTCAGCAAGGAATCTGTTCATGTGGCGCCATGGAGTATGTGTACCGGGTCTGGTTTGATTCGAGATTATGCTGATACCCTTGAGAGACATATCGTGCGCCAGCGTCATCAATGAATAAATATCCCGATAAGTATATTTTTTCTGGTTTTTGAAACAACCAAACCACCCCTGTATCCCAAAATTCAAGAAAAGGACCAAGGCGCCAATGCTTCGCTGTTTCAACTCCGTACAATCCTTGCTTTTTTCCTCATGGCCTTGGACCTCGGCTTCGTATTGGCCCTCAGTCGTCCAATTATTATGATTTAACGTGTCACGTAACATAGCTCCCCCACGTTTGTAAAGCTTATCCGATTTCGCCGCCCCGTTCTTCTCAAGATTTATGCATGCATAACCTTTATAGATCATCACAACTCCTAAGAACATTTCAAATATCTTTTGCAAAAGATGGGACAGCCCTTCGTGGTGCGACGTCTCAGCCGTATTCTTCATGCAAGCTCCCATTGCAGTCAGCTTCAGTACAAGATAGTCCTTCGCAGCTGATCGACCGTTCGTTTCCTTTTCTTTCTCCACTTGTGATTTGTCTGGTCCCGAAGGCCGCACTTTCTTGTGTAGCGCACACACTGAGTCTCGGGCGGTTTGAATCAATTGGCTGATACTACTTTCCATCTTACGAGCGAAGTCTGACTTGGGGTCTGGCCAAGATGAGGTTGAGGTGCCACACGTCAGAAAATTGAGCGAAAACCAGCTTCCCGATCTGATATCCCCTCCCAATTTCACATCAATTGGTTTAGATAGAACATCGATCTTGAGGGTATTATTATTGAAATAAGGATGTGTATCTGAAATTTGGAGCAGTCGGGGACCTGTATGCGTGGCTCAAAAAGGCATTAATTTAGGTCTGATCTGGTTTTGTGCATGGCAAAAAAAAAAACACTCACATCGGCGTAATATTGCTCCAAATTGCTTGGTATCCGCTATAGCATCTTGAAGGAAAGCCCATTTGCCCCCATCAACAAACAAAAACCGGGTTTTTTCTTGGGTTTCCTTCTCTGCACTGACGGTTTTCAAGAAGTTCAAAGTGATTGTGTCGAGCATCTCCTTGGCATACCAGCCGAACTCCATTCTTGTATTTCCAATCAGCTCAAGCAACACTTCTTTCTGACTTTCTAGACGTGACTGTAGTTCACCCCCGGTCAGTTCAACCAGGATATCTACAAATGCAAGCAACTCAGATGACCATTCTATCATCGGGATTGGCGGAAGGACGAACTTACCTCCTAACCATATTGGATCTGAGTACAAGTCATAGGGATCCAGCTCGGTCAAGTGAATGCCAAGCTTCTTGGCGTATTGCAACTTGCGGACCTCTTTGCGACTAGTGTGCAACTGTTGAGCCGCCAGCCGATTTGGTGTAGGTGTTTTATTCTGTTGTTGAGGAGAGGGGGCTTTAGTTGGAACAATAGTGCCACATTTTGAAGGCATTTGCACAGTTTCGAGGGACCTTGAATCATTCATACCGCCCTCATTCGAATCTTGGCGGCAGAAAGCGGGAGTTGATGATGGTAGCACACTGGTTGCTTGCATACAATGGGATAAAGCCTGATGTTTTGGGGATCCCACTGTTCTACACCTCTGTGAATCGGAAACGTCGTATTTCGCAAGGGGACTAGGGCTGGAAGGATTAAAAAGAGGAATCGGATTTTCCCCGTTGGGGATGTCATACGCAACGTTGGGAGTATGTCGTGATTCGTCCGTCTCAAGTTCAGCCGGCGTGTTCTCTTCTCCATTGAGGGGGCTGTCTGAAATATCGACAATTTGACTAGTCTCGAGATTAGCGGTTGTGTTAAATTCTTGGATTTCTTGTAGTGCTGGATCTTCTAACAAGGAATCGTTTGTATCTAGGAAATTATCTTGCACAGAAGATTGGTAAGCCGGGGAAGAATCTTGGGTTTCGGTGGTTGACGTAGACTTTTGGTTTTGACTTCCTCTAGTGGGACTGAAAGTGACTTCCAATGGGGATAGCTTATCGCTGCCAGTTGGAGTTGCAGCTGATAAATCATCCACAAGACAAATCTGCGGTTGTGAGCAGCCTTGTGTGGCTAGAGTGTTTTCCTGATTCAGACCGCCATCCACATGAATGGGAGAAGAGAGCGAAAATGGAGAGGAGCCAGAAATGTCTTTGGGCGCCGCAGTCTCTTCATTCAACTTGTCTTCCAGAGATGAAGGTTGTTTGTTCTGAATCTCGGCTAATATTGGTCCCGCTTCTTTCCCTTGAACCAGTTCGTCTTTAGCCTGTATCGTTGTGTGGCCGCGAGTTTGACTGTCCATAGTGTCATCTAGACTTGCACCGTCACTGCTAGCCGTGGGCCGTATACTGCATCCCGAAGCATTTCCTTCCTGTCGGCGAATCGATTCACCCATATTGAAAGCCACCGCTGGGGTTTTTGGTAGGTCCAACGAAATCGGGAGTCCTGTCTTTAGGATGAGTTTTTCTTTGTGCTCAAGTGGACCATTTATGGGGCGAAGTTTCTTGGCAAATGTAACAGCTATGTTGGAAGCAGAAACAAGGGTTAGTCAGGAGAAAAAATTATGCTCTTCATGTGGAAACAGGTCTTCCTACCTGTGTCGGAGCATGATCTCTTCCTGACTCCTGTATGTGTAATGAGAGCAGCAGAATGATCATTTCCCTCCATTGTGCCCAGCGCCTTCGCCCACTTGTTCCCCCAAGCACCTTGCACATCCACGTCCATTTTCCCGTTGCCAGGCCGACATGGACTTGGGCCCACAGATTGCACATCTAAATCAGCTGGGAATTTCATTTATTCATCAGTAAAAGGGTGTTATATAACTGTTGATGTAGTATAACGGAAACCTTACAATTATCAACCTTTTCCATCGGAGGTACTATATCAATAGTCCCCAAGACATACTCTAACCCCAATTTTTGTGCCTCATCGATCTTACTTTGACAGGTTTTCTCCATTTTTTCCAGAAGGTCTAGATAAACTGCCTGGTGTTGGAGAAACATTGAAGATTGGCGCCGCTGTGGAAACTTTTCTTGAATACAAGCTTCATTTTTCGATAGATAAACCCTGACATTATGGTCTGGTCAACGGGAAAGGAAAGGGGGAAAAAATCAATAACAGTTTTAGTCAAGTGGCAGGCCAAACAAATCACTTACAATGATCACGAAAAACCTCCACATCAAGTATTGTGAGGTCGACAGAAGGCAATTGTACCAGCTCCGAATCTACTGCATCGTTCTAAATCCAGCTGCATAAGTCTACTAAGGTTTTCTAAATTTTATAAGCTTCATTGCTCTCACAAGTTGGGAATTTATTATCTTCGTTTCTACAAAATCTGTTGGGCTATGTAAAGATGATGTCTGTAGCTAAATCAAAAGGGGGGGGGGGCATCATTTTAAAACCCAATTTCAGAATCAACACTTCTTCCAACTTACAATTGTAGATGGGGAAACCGCTGGCTGAAGCACCCCAACCCCTAACCCAGAATCCTGCCCACTTTTGTCGTCATTTTGACTTGCTCTCTCAGCAGTGGATTCCTTACTTGGAATTGCAATGAATTTTGTTTTTGGACTGCTCTGTTGAACCAACACATTGTGTGATGTGTTAGTTGAAAAAGTGAGGAAGGGGAATTAAAGTGGAATTCTCACATCCTCAGGCTGCTTTGAAGTCTTTTTCTTGGGGCTTTTTCTCGCTGGGACTGATACCGTTCTTTTCTTAGTGGAATGGACCCGCTGGAACATCTGATCTATGGTGGGTTGCCGGCTATCCCCATGCTTGATCAATAAGGAAATTATAAAATAAAATCAATAAAGGTAAGCAGCACTCAGGAGCTTTCACTTTTGAGTTACCTACCAAGCATGATTTAGATCGGACAAAAGGGCTTGATCTTAAAGCACATTTCTTCTTCATTGGAGTTGTAGGCTGCGAGTACGATATCGCAATCGGTTTTTTTTTGCTGGATGCCATCACGTAAACCCGAATTGGAGATTTTCCTGAGAGATTTAAGTTGGTGGAGGTTCCAGGGGTCTTTGTTCAAATCGAGTGGAAAGAAAGTGTAGTTCCAACCCTTCTGGTGTACATTATCCTTCATTTAGGGTTCTCAAAGTTGAAAATGGTTTTTCTGCGGGGGTAGGATAGGGTATGCATCTAGAACGGGTTTTGTTGCGCAGGTATGGATAAGCGTATGAAAAATAAAAATGTGTATTTGTGTATGTACAATCGGTAATATGTATGTGTCATATAAGTCAGATTCATAAGTACATACAGTTTTTTGCATACTGCATATTACAGTCATCCAACTGCAGACGCGACCCTAACCCATTGGGTCCTGGGACCCAATACTCCACAAAGCTGCAGGAATAAGTTGAGCCACCAAATCATCAAAGTCCCTTGCAGCTATTGGCTTCGATGGCTTGCCGGAGGAACTTGTGCAGTCAGCAGCTTTTTGGCATGCGGCTCCAGAACTTTTCATCCATTTTTCACATTCAATATTCTTTCTCAAACTCAGTGTAATTATTCTAATTGGTTGGAATGATGGCCTGCAACTTGTCCCAATTTTTACAACTTTTTTTCGAACCCCTTCTTATTTCCTCTCAATCTCATAATTTTTTCAAAATTTATTGTAATAATTTGATTGCAGGGACAACTGTGTATTGAGGACTATTGAGTTTTGAAAAAAGTCATTGAATCATTGTATTTTTCGAAATGGAGAGGGGGTGAGGGGTCAGGGTTAGACTGTCAAAGGGGTGGAAGCCAACTAGATGCATATATAACTGTCAGATGAATTATGCACTCAGATATCCAATTACATAATTCCCACCAAACATTGTTTAAAAAATTTCAAACGCCTTTTGGATACATCCACATATAACTAGGGTTGATTTTTATCAAAGTAAGTCTTCATTATTGCCATCATACCATTCCGGAAGATCTTGAAACAAATTTGTTGAACATTACTCCAAAAAATTTTCAGTATTACAACGCTGAGACAGGATTATATAGAAAATGAGTGACGATGGTTGGTCTGATGGGGGGAATGATGATTTTTTTGGTGAAGTAGGCTATGCCTTTTTGTTTCTACACTACTTGCCACTTGATGAATTTTGATCTTCATTTAACTTGATAGGAAGGAGACTTGGACTCTGGCAGTGATTCCGAGATGAGGGTCATGGTGAGGAGACTGTTTCACATAAACATAGTTTAGTTACTCACCCTGAAAAATCTTAATCTGATTATCGGCAGGTTGAAAATAGGCAATCACCACTAATACAACCAGAACCCAATAGAAATTTTACGGAAGAAGAGGTATGAATGAAGTGAATTTGCATCCTTTTCAAACCATGGTTGACCTGGATTGTTTGCTTGCTTTTTAGCATCTAGGTGGAAATCAACCGCAGCAGGACGTTCAGGTGGACCTGGAAGTATGTGACTTTGTTAAATTCCAGTGGGCATTATCCCTGACACATTTATGAAATACACAGGGAACTAAGGATTGGCTGCGTGGATTAGTGGGACCTACTTTGTTGACCTTGGATCTTGACGCTTGGAATGTTACAACACGACCAAGATACTTGAATCAATATCTTTCAAGAAATACATCCATCAATCTAGCTCACCACTGCATTGAAGTACGAGATGAAGAAGAATTTAAGCAATGGATATTCATATCATCTGGAGGTTGTATAGTACGAATGCCTAATGAAAACAATCATAAATCTGATTTACTTGAGTACCTTCGAACTCGTATGAATGTTATTGCACACAAGTCTCCTCACCCACAGGTTCTCAACTCTGGCTCACCAGTAATCACTGTTGCAATGATGCAGAAAGCTCTAATTGAAATTGACGTTCCCAGAATCCGTTTAAACTCATACGGAATGAAATGTCCATTGCCTTTGGTGGAAGGAAATATTGGCGAAGAATTAATTTCTGAAGACTCATCTCTTGCCAATTTGAACACATTTGATATTGGATTTACATATAAATGTGATAAAATTATCTTGGCAAGTCTTCCTAGGAGGACAATTGGCTTGGATGGTTATCCTATGCTTTTGGGACTTGGAAAAGGCTTTGGAACCGTCTTGATCAAACAATACAATTCTCCAATTCTTCGAGTCAAGGGATATCCAGTTCTTGTCCATGCTTTGAAGGCCACCTCTCAGAAAAACATGAAGTCTACCCCAAAGTTTACCAAGGGCTGGCGTGATAGATTGGCACAGGTCAGGAGAAAGCTCAATATCCTGCGTGAGAATGATCCCCAGGATTTATGTGGATTCCGATTTGAGGCTACTGTGCAAGCAAAAACTTTACTGGAGGCTCAAGAAATTGTTCACACATCTGGCTGTTTGACTTTTCAACATTATTTGACCAATGATTCAGAGCCGCATGTTAATGATCGGCTACAATTCATAGCCATAGGTGTCGATGAATACTTTCAGCACCTTGAACAAATACTTGTAAAGGTAGAGAATACACCTATCAGTCTCAGAAATGTTTCTAATATTGAAGTCAGCAAGGAGCAAAGGCAGAAGCTAATTGATCTTCAAAATGCTCTGGGTTGGAATCTCGGTAAATTTTTTAGACCCACAAGATGGGATGACCCAAATGCATGGTGGCTTGATGGTAAGTTTATTAATCCCCTCATTTCCCATGCAAAAGAAGTTTCATCAGGATATACATTGCTTTCTCATCTATACATGCATTTTCTTTAGATAACGAAGACCAAGCTAGCAATGATAGTCATGATGTTGAGGTCACCGAATCTGAAAGATATTGGATTGGTGGCCCCGAAACTGATGATTGGAGCCCAAAGGACCTATGGGATTTGAGACCGTTAAGGGCAGTTCCATGTCCTGACTGTGCTAGGGATCCAAATCGAATAATTCCCCAAAAAACCAAATCAATGCCCTATCCTTATGGGTCTATGGTAAAGGTTGGTGGCTCTGGCCGACTTGGGTTGGTATGTAACAATAAGGATAATTGTCAGTATGCTGCAAAGAAGGAGAAGGATGCAGGCAACCTATTACGAGAGTGGATTATTGATTGTAAATATAGACTTCTACCTGAAAAGCACCGCAGAGGAAGAATGGGAACAAGATCTAACTGGAAGGGCCCTTCACCTTCTCCTGAGCTTTGGGACAAACCTGCAAGAGTACGAATACCTTCACCAGTTTCTTCTAAAGACGAAACAGACAGAGATGATTCAAGACCTAGAACAAGGGCTCAAACAAGATTAAAGCAAAGTTTGAATGAAAGCAATCTAGATGAGGCTCGAAAAGAAAATACATGTGCTAGTCTTGAAACCAAGAAAGAATTTGTCATCCGATATCAACCCCCACGTATCATAAGGAAAGAAACAATCTATAGTTTTCCCAAAAGAAACCAGAATGCCCCCCCTACTCCTCCTTGTTCTAAGCAGCTCCTCCGTCCAGTCTTAAAGAGAGAAAGATCTTCAAATGATTCACACATCTCAAAAAGGAGAAGGGTGACTTTTGACCCCATTGATCATGTACAGGTGATTCAAGATACTACAAAAGCCAGAGATTCTCTGTTGCTCTCTGTATTAGGGGACATGCAAGGTTTTCTTCGACAAAAGAAATACCAAAAGCAATATCCCACACAAAGAATTCACCCTCAAAAAAGCTTCTCTGCCAAGAGGATGAAGCAACCATGGGAGAAAATGATGGAGCACTTGAAAAATCTCAATGAATCTAGACATGTGCATCAGTCCCTACCTGTACAAGGAAATAAAATTACCAGCAAATGTCCACCTGGCTTGAAGGAAGGCTGGAAATTATCACACAATTTTATCAAGGCAGATGGAAACTGCCTTTTTCGGGCTGTATCATTTTGGCACTTTGGAGACCAGGATGCTCAATCCGAAATTAGATTTTTGTGCTGGTCAGAACTGAATTCAAACTCACATACAGATAAATACTGGACTGATCGTGAGGAGGGTTGGGATGGATTTCTTGAAATGACCTTAATGGATGCCAGCTCAGCCAATGACAGAAAATCCTGGGGAGGCGAGGATCATCTTGCACCAATTTCCAATGCACTGGGCGTGGTATTGGTGGTGTTTAACCCCTCTGCAGAAGGCTTAGTGACAACTTATGGAAATTCTGATCGACCTGGACCTTTGAAAACTTATTTCTTGGCCTTTGTGAATGAAAACCATTATGAAATCATATTCAATGAAAACATTCATTGTCTACCCCCAACTCCTCCTCCATCTGGAAATCAACCATCAAATGAACCAACTGCTCTAGTTGATCCTTATGATTTGAATGATCTTGACCTTGACAATGAAAATTTAAGAAAGTTTCACCGTGATGCTTGGAAGCCAATCAACATTGGACTAATGGAAATATTGAAAAATCCTCAGGCTAGATCAACTAGCCTTCCACTAGTTGAGATTCCCTATTATTATCCATATGGATTGCTGGACGGCTGGGCAATCACCAATGATTTTATAATTACGGAAAACAATAGCTTTTACCATGCGGTATCCTATTGGGTCAATGGAAACCAAGATCAGTATGTTGATGTTAAAGACAAATGTTTTTTGGAAATAACCACAAAACCTGATAGATACATTGAACTTGTTGGTCAAAAGAACTGGTCAAGATTTGTCCAGACAACTCAGGCAAATACAATCAAGATATCTCAACCTCACCTGCAAGCAGTATCAAATAGTCAAAGAGTTATTCTGTGGGCTGGAAGATACAATGGCAGAGGGCAGATGGAGTATATTATCCTAACCCCTATGAATGATGCTGGTGTTGATGATCAAGTATTCAATACCATCTTTCTGATGCTCAATTGGACAAGCCAGCAGTGGGACATTTTGTTTCATCCAAAAACACACCACATTAAGAGTTCTTCTCAAGCCAACTTCATCACTGAGCCAAACAAAACCCTCTCAAAAACCCCCAATGCTGAATTTTGGAATCCGATAAACCATGTATTAGCCAGAATTGAAGGAAGCAATGAAATGGTCCACTCACAACTTCCAGCCGCTATGACAAAATTTGTAAAGCCAGCTGGCTTGTTCAGAGACTGGAATGTGACATACCAATTTATTCTTGAAGGTAACAGTAGTTTCTACCGGGGTATCTCTTATTGGATTTTTGGAAATCAAGAAAACTATCCTGATATAAAGAGAGCATGCTTGAATCAGTTGATGGCAAATTGTGAAAAGTACTGGGATCGTACGAGTGGATTGCAATGGGAAGAGTTTATTTTTCTGACCAATGAAGAACAAATCCAGATTACTAGAGCACACATGGAAGCTGTTTCTCAAGAACTCGAGCTAGGGTTAGTTGTTGCAGAACTTGATCATTCCGATACAGAGATCATCCAGCTGTTCCCAAATGTTTCTCCTGGGAAGGGGCCAGCTAAGACCGTATTTCTGATTTTTGACATACAAGACAATCACTTTGAGCTTTTGTTCAACCCGAAACTACACTGCAGAAAAAAAAGCAAGTTTTATCAACATTGATCAATAGAGAGCCAGACATTGTAGAATTAAAACTCAAAAAGGTCGACAATAATATACCTAAATCAGATATGAAAGAACTTGACAGTAATGGTGATATTTTGAAAAAAATCGACGACTGGTTGGATTTAGCACCCTTTTCTGATCAGGAGCCTTATGTGAAAACCATTGTCAAGTCATATGATCAAGTTTCTCATAACTCTAATCGCAATATTCCTGGAAAAGACCATCTTCATCATAGAATTAACTTGGCATTCATAAGCAGTTGGTTAACAAAGGAAGTGGAAGACTTCCATTTCAAGCAAAAACTGAGTCTGTTTCGTCATATATCAAGGTTCCGACTTGATGGTCTTGTTGCACTAGCCGAGGGGTGGAATATAGCATTTGACTATATAGTTCAAGATGAGAACAATGTGTGGAGGGCAGTAGCAGCTTGGCATCACAACGATCAGGAAAAGTGGAATGACATCAAGGCAATAGTCAAGCTAGCTCCTCCACCACATAGGCTAGGTATCCTGGATCTTCTGCAAAAAATAGTCGATTGTTTGAATATCAATATTGTCCTCGCTGATCTGAGGCCTGCTGGAAGTCATGTTTATGATCTGATTCCAAAAAAATCTGCTATACTTCTTGAGCTTGGAAAGCCATGCGATACAAAGGATACCCGGGTCTACGATGTTAAAAATGCTCAAGTTGTTAAAGTTAAAGGCCGCCGCCCAAGAGTATTGAAAGATTTTCCGGCCTATTTTATTTATCAACTCGCAGATCGCGTTGATCTGATATACCATTATAGGCACTGCCCCCTAGGAAAAAACTAGTGACATGAACTGTTGACATCATTATAGTGAGTTTGTTTTCTTTTCTAATCATTTAATTTTCATTTGCTAATGGAATATGCTTATGCAAAGGTTTTTCTAGTTAATATGAAGTCTAGTCAGTCATGGAGATTGCACAGTTTTAGCAGCATTTGAGCTTAATCTTCTTTTTTGTTCTTCCATAATTGTGTTCTTTTTTGTAAGCTTTCATTTTCTTATTCGATAAAATGATTGGAATTGATTCTTTATTGGGATTAATGTAATTACAAGCAACGTGTGGGATAAAAATGCCTGTCTCAATTGTGGTTTTAATCTTAATATAAATAAACGCAATCATTGGAGGACTTCCCGTCAACTTCTGCGGGGCTCCCAGTTTCGATTTAGAGCCGAAAAAGCTAGATTTCCCTGCAAAAATCTAGACTTTTTGGGTCTAAATTGGAAACTGCGAGGCTCCCAGATCCGACGGGAAGTCCTCCAATGAACAGGAGTGTGTTATGTAGTTTGATAAAGGTTGGGTAGCGAGTGTGCTGATAATTGTATTATCATTTAATTTTATGTATTCGCTGGAAGATAAGCTTTGGTGCCCTTTGAAAGTGATTGGCTCCCGGGACCTATTTACGGAAGCCCACCGACGACAACGACCGCGCCATTGCGCCATCACGCCAAACAGGTTCGTTTTTGACTGATCCTCCAAAAAAATTCCCACTTAAATAGTCTTCACATACATATTTATTTAAATAAATGAAATGCTGGAAGTCTTCCCGTCGAATTTACAGCCCCCTGTAAAGCTATTTTTACAAGCTCGTGAAACCGTTTTCCCAGCGAAAAATTAGCTTTACAGCCTGTAAATCTAGCTTTACAGCCTGTAAATCTAGCTTTACAAGGCCTGTAAAACCCACGGGAAGTCCTCCGCTATCAGATACCGATCTCGACCGATGAGAGTCCATGTGAGTATGTACTTCACTCAATGACCGGTAAAGACCGGTCATCCGGTGGAATGTACAAACTCAATCCGGATTCCAAGACCAGGAGAGACCGACCATCAGGTGTGTACTATGTAGTCCACTCGATGGGCGGTAAACACCAGTAATGGAGTGGAGTATGTACTCAAGTGTTGGTCAAGACCGGTCATCGGCTGGAGTACACGCCCTCGGTGACTAGTCTTTATCGGCACGGAGTACACACTCAAATCAATGGCTTGTAAAGACTGGTCAACAGGCTGTACTCCATCCGATGACCGGTGAAGACCAGTTGTCTGGTGGAGTCTATACACCACCCGATGACTGGTTTCCGGTCATAGGAATGTGTACATACACACTCCATCTTTTTGGAAATGGTCGAGGGGCCGTGGAGGACTGGAGATCTGATGGAGAAAAAAATCCCTCAGATGGGCTGTTTTATTGAGTGATGGGGCCGGCTGAAGCCGGTAATTCTATTTGTGTTTGGTAATTCTACTTGTGTTATTGGAATGATGAGATATATATTTTTTGTAGTTCTGCATAGTTTCTTTGGAGGATCGGTCAAAAAATCCTTATTTGGCGATACAGACGCTTAAGAGAAAATTGAAACATGAATAACACCAGCGAGAGAGAGCAACATAATGGCAATACACCCAACTAACAAGGGCATCTTTGACCAGACATCTGGTAGCAACCTGACTGCAAGAAACCTTTGAGAAGCCAACCCAATAGTTTGCTTGAACTTTGCACGGCAATCAGGAACTATGGAACTTATAGGTTGGGTTGAATTCGGACCAAGCCAAATTCCAGCAGACTACCTGAGGAACTGGAAAAGATGACAAACAAATCACCCACAGAACATGTTATCAACTGATTGTTCCAATTTTTTTGCAATCAACCAAAAGGCCTTCAAGTTGACATGGTTTCTTCTTTGGTTGAAGGTAAACATACATTTGTTTGAGTAGGAACAGCTTTTGGGAAAACTCACATATCAGAGATGTTTTTTGGGATGTTTGAAAAGAGGGTTGTACTCTTGGTTTTGAACCTGTTAGATTCTTTGGGCAATGATCAGGTTTGGAATAGGTGGTTTACCCCTTTGACCAGGGGGTAGGGAATCAGTTACATAAGTTAGATTTTTTCTGATTCGGTGTATAGGCTGAGAAGCGGAGGGAATTGCTTGAGTGGCTTTTATATGGGACAGTTTACTCTACATACAGGTGATACAATGTTCATTGGGTCCTGGGACCTATAGTCCGTTGGGAGTGGGGAGAATACCTATAGTGCTTTGGGACTGGAGGGAATCTTCCAGCCTCAAGACTTTTACGTGGCCAACTCAGACTACATGAGGACAGCAAATATTCAGTCCCCCTTGTGGAGGCTACTTCAAAAACCACCCAAGACGGCTTGCAACTGGCTTCAAAGTCTTCTTCAAACGGATTGGGAAGCGGCTTGGAAACGTCCAGCCATCCTGAACTTGAATTTTCTCATATCACTTTTGAAATCAAACTGCTGTCTCACTCCTCCTCTCCCAGGGGGTATATACACCACGGGTGCACCCAGGCATCTTCAAAGCGCCTGAGTGGACCACCTTGAAGGCGTCTCAAACCAATTGAATGGGAGACGCCTTCAAGGCGCCTACATAGACGTTTTCGCCTCTAAGTCGACTTGCAGGCAGCTAGCCAGACGACTCCAAAGCGAAACAAAGTCGCCTCCAAACCGACTTGGGAACATCTCACCTGAAAGTCGTTTTGGAGGCGACTTGAAAAACCACCTAAGACAGCTTCCAAGTTGTCCTTGAACCGACTTGGGAATGTCCGGCCATCCCGAACAACTCGAAGCTGTTTTCAAAACTCAGGCAAGGTCCACTTGTTATCTCACTTGATCTCACACTCAGGAGGGGGGGGGGGGGAGGTCTCAGTGTCCCATTGAGACTAATATCGGGTGATGAGCCTCACAAGGGGAGTTGATTCCTCAATTGGCTTTCATTCCATCAAAAGAAGGTCATAAATATGTATGTGTAATGAGACAGAGAGATAGGTATGTGATAGAAGTGAAGAGAAAGTAAAAACGAGAAGCAAAATAACAAACAAGACATTCATCAGGTTCCAAAACAAAGAGCCAATTGGTTCATCCATCGGCATGAGTTGAGTTATGCAGCTTGCTATGTCAAGAAAGGGTTAGTAGTGGCTGTCATTGACCTTCTCAATCTGAACGGTCAAGTGAACTTGAAATGACTGGAACTCACCTTTCCGATTCGACAATAGCTACTGAGTTACTGATGTATTAGATTGAAGAGTTCAATCAAATGCAACCAAGGTGTCAGCAATCGCTTTACTTCAGACAGAAAAGGAATACATGAAAAATACATATCTCAGTCCCTCCAACTAATTATTGACTCCAGCTCAAACTAACGAGACGGAATTCAAGACTCTGACGAACCGGATTACTTGATGGACAAGATTTAAAAGAGATACAATACCAACACTGGTTCTGCTCAGTGCTGAGAGCAACAGGAGGATCAGTGATGCTACATTTTCTAAGTCATCACAACTTGGATTCAGTTATACAACTACTTGAAAAAAAATGAGATTTGGATTCAAAAGGAGCAAACTTCAAGGAGGAAAACATGGAAGGAGCTCGGAGCAAGGGTGCAAGGAGTGGTCTGGTAGAGGGACTTGTCCGGTTGGACTTCAGCTTCTAGAATTTTCTTGCATTGTATTTGTGCCCCAAATGTGTCACAAATGGGTTCCAAAGACGACAATGGAAACCAAAGGTGGTTGTGGGCCGCCTTGAAA